GAGAATAAGCAGTTTGGTAGAGAAAAGCGGCCGACAATATTACCTTATGGATCCAATCGATCACCTAAGCATTTATTAGACGGCTCCAACTCTAACGCTAGAAGCAGGCTTAGGGACGGTGGTATCCGTGAAACCTAGCCTATAGATCAGGCCGTTGAGTTTCTCGCCTGTTCTTCTCAGCGGGTTTCATTCGGGTGGTAGGTTCAGTCACGAAGCAACTACCGCTTTTATTTCATTCTACCCTACACTCTAAATACATTTACAATGTTTCTGTGTGATAAAAAGACTTATAATAAATAATAGTTTAAAAAACTAACAAAATACGCTTTTATAGAAAATCCAACTAAAACATAGAAAATAAATATTAATAAATTTGAATTAAAAATAATGTAAAAAAAAATGATTTTATTGTAAAAAAAACCTGGGGTGCTTTTCAGGATATTATCAAAATAACCTTCTACTCATATCTGTTCATAAAATATTTATAACTACTGATACCACGCTTTTTTTACAGTAAAATCATTTTTTCATACACTAATTTTAATTCAAATTTATCAAAATTGTTTTTCTATTTTTTTAGTTGGATTTTCTATAAAAGCGTATATTGTTAGTTTTTTTGAAGTATCATCATTTAGTTGAAATTAAATTTTTTCAAAAAAAACTTTGTTATTGAATTGTCATCGGTCTTTAACAAGTATACCAAATTTCGAGTTAATCCGACATTTTAAAGGGGGACAAAATCATGTTCAAAGATTCCGTTACAAACATCCATACGTCTGAAGCTAATAAAAGCATATTAAAAAGGCAGTACTCGGGATCCGAGTGCTACATATACTTGTTACGCCTTCAGAACTATAACCGACGTATATCCAGGAGGTAGGATCTCCGATCGACCATGCTTGATCGTGACTAAGCTTCAACGACAAACAGAATTTCATTACGTACTAGCTGACCCGGCAGACTTCGTAGTGCCTCAATCGATAAATAAAAGACCTAAACTTTTTTATAAAATAAACTTAAAACAAACAAAAGGAATCCGTCCGACGGGGGACACATCCATTCCAAGCATTTTCATATTTATCTACCTTTTAAACCTTCTCTGGACTTCCACAAATAATTCAAGACCAAAATTAGCCAAATCGGTCCAGCCGTTCTCAAGTTTTAGCGAGACTAACGAACAGCAATTCATTTTTATATACTTATATAATATAGAATAGAAGAAGAAGATTAAAAAAGAACTAGTATCCGCACGAAGATATAATTTCTTCAATAAAGTACTTAAATATAGTTAATTTAATATTTATTATTAACTGTTATCGAAGCATACTCGTGACTATTACAAGGAAATGCGGTCGTCATTTGATATGTTGAAGTCTCGATTATTTCATCGGAATTACTATTTGGACTGGGCTATACAGACCGGGTTACTTCGGGGTAGAAAATAAGAATCGAGCTTAATATAAACCGTACAGTTTTGTTAGAAAATTAACGTAAATACTGGTGGTAGGACCTCTTGTAAGTCCGCACGGGTAGGTACCACCGCCCCGCCTATTTCTGCCGTGAAGCAGTAATGCGTTTCGGTTTGAAGGGTGGGGCAGCCGTTGTAACTATACTGAGACCTTAGAACTTATATCTCAAGGTGTGTGCCGCATTTACGTTGTAGATGTCTATGGGCTCTAGTAACCACTTAACACCAGGTGGGCTGTGATCTCGTTCACACAACTAAGCAATAAAATAAAAAATAAAACTACTTTGTAGCAGTAATGAAAATAAACGAAGAGAAGAAATTAGTTTCGGGCTAACAATGAGTGACGCGGTAGCGAAGCAGTTGTGGTGTGCCGGACCATCCTATAGACACAATCTACTGAGTTTCTAGCCGGATCTTCTCAGTGGACCAGTGGTTTTCCTAGGGTAGATACAAGAAAAATCTTTCGGACTGAGCGTTGTGAGTTCATATCATCATAGTTACTCAAGACTGCTGGGAGTTAGGTAGGAAAACAATAAAGCTATACCGAAGGTCTTGAATTCCGATTCCCACATCGGAAAAACATTCGTGTGACGAACAGGTTTGTTGGGTTTTTGTTACGGTGTTTAATGTTTATTTAATTAAAGAAAAATGAATCTGCGTAGCATATGTACGCGCTTAACTTCATAACGCGGGAAACAAATTTGATAATTCTTTTTTGTTGTGTTATCTATTGTCAGAAGAAGGTTCTTATAAAAAAAAAATGCGCGGAAAATTAGAAAAATTAAGAAAACCTAACCACCATATTAACTTTTCTAATGTAGCCTTATGGCATTAGACATAGCATCGACAGAATGCGTGCCGCAAATTTCGTCACAGAGGATGTAAAAAAACTGAATATCGTTTAAAACAAATGCTTTGATCGAATTTATATTGATAAGATACATAATAGTTGTTCAAAAGGTTGATAATGGAATGGCGGTGCTGACAGAATACTCTGAGAGCCACGTGGTAGAGCCTAATTGTGGTACTGCGAACAATTCGCTATACAATATCCTAGATTACATCATTTTCTCAGGTTCAGATTTGTATAAAAGAAAATTCAATAAAGCCAATAATGAATTATAGTCACTAAATCGAAGCGAGGGCGGGTAGCTAGTATTGTCTAAAAAATTTAAATGTACCTACTACTTTAGTATGTCATATCAGTCTCTTATTACACGGAGTCTATGTATTAATACGTGAAGCAAAAACTTTGTATCTCTTTTTACGAAAATTGCGCGGACGGAGGAGTATGAAATTTTCCACACTTATAGAGAATATAGAGAAGAAGTATAGAGAAGACTAATTTTTTTTTTAAAATAATGCTTTAAAAATACATTACATCAATAAAGAAAACATTACACACACTACATACCATGTATTTGACGCACACACGCATGCATACTATTTATTGTCAAACTTTTGTTCTTGACGTCTGTTGTCAAATTGAGAATAGATTAAGTACTGTTTGTCTTTATTAATATTTTTTTACAGTGTAGCCTTGGCGAAATTTGTGATTATAGAAGTATAAAATACAATCATACTAGTGTACAAACTTACAATTCCAATTAATTATAGTCGAATTTCGACTACTGCGGCACCTCTAGTAATATTTAAAGGCCATATCAAATGTGTGATTTGACAGAAGAAAAAGCTGACATTCAATCTTCAGATATCCAAGCTAACACAAAACAAAACACATATGTTTATGTATACCCTTCATTTTAATTCTACGAAGTAATATGCATGATTATGATATTAAGGTATTGCAAGGATTTCAGTATAGGCCTTTTGAAAACGTTGGGGTTAATGGGAAATTGGCCTGATGCAAGTACTCATGTGTTGAAACCGGGATTCAAATGCTACGTACTTTTTTCTAACTCAATTGGCGTGTATCTATTCACCATCTATTCATTTGTTCACGTAAGATGTAGATATAAGAAAGTGTATAAATATAATCTCACAAAATTTAATAAATTTACGCAATTCTGATCACTGGCATGGATGTATTGTGAAACAGATCACAATTATGCCTATTTCTACCGCAAATCTGCCATTCTCAATCGAAGTCTGCTGCTCTGCTTTTTCTAGGGCAGATGTTAGGAGACGCCCTCTCAGACGTAGCCCCGTGAGCTTACCTACTAATCATGGTGAAGTCAGACTAGTTTCTCGAGACGACTGGCAAGTTAGTTATCCAAAACAAATCATTTATATATTTTTTTATTGCTTAGATGGGTAGACGAGCTCACAGCCCACCTGGTGTTAAATGGTTACTGCAGCCCATAGACATGCACAACGTAGGTAAATGCACCACCCACCTTGAGATATAAGTTCTAAGGTCTCAAGTATAGTTACAACGGCTGCTCCGCCCTTCAAACCGAAACGCATCACTGCTTCACGACAGGCATGGGCGGGTAGTGGTACCTACCCGCGCGGACTCACAAGAGGTCCTACCACCAGTAAAAAGCCTCAAACATACTATTCATTACGTACTTATCTCCTTGTTCTCGTTGCATTTATAGGAATATCAATGTACATTGACTGCAGGTTTTGCAAAATGTAAACATACTTAGGTACAGTGTGCTCAGTGCGAGTTTTTTAACGTTCTCGATAGCGTAAAAGTTAACTCATATTTGTATGGAATGGGATCTAACTGCATACAAAATTGGGTTAACTTTTACGCTAGAACGACAGGGAAGAAATTACTTCCAAATAACCAAACTAAAAAATGACAAAATTCACTCCAAATATAAAATAGTCCTTTTGTGTTTAAGTTTGTTGTTTAACATAAAAACGATTTCAATTAGAATATAATGAATGTAGTTGAAAGCAATTAGGTACCTATTCATTGTTAAGAATATCTCAAAAAATACTAGTCAAAAATCTTGATATAATATAAGTGCGACCACATGAGATGCATCGTCTTTAAGAAAATAACATAAAAATCTGTTCACTTAGAAAAGCGTTCAACACTCAAGGGAACACACATAAGAAATTCAATCGAATTGAGAGCTTCCTACTTCTTTTCAAATCGTATAAGAATATTTTCGTTACAAAAAAAAAAGTTGAATTAAAATCAAATAAATACGCAGTCCGATTTAAACCTGGTAAATAAATAAGAACACTTAAAAATGCTGTACAAACATGTATTCAAAGTTACAGCCCAAAATGAATCTAAGACTGAACACACAAACACCCAAGGATGTTTGGTAATCCAATACAAGAACTAAATTAATGAATGTTGCACAGCTGATAATGAATGAAAAAAAAAACATTCTTCAATTAACACTATATTCCGAGTAGGTACGTGACTTTTAACTGAGTTACAGCTTTACAGATCTTTATATTCGTTCACAATCACACCGGACACGTGAAATACACTTTCAAATCCCCTGCATATCCCAACATGCATTATCGATCAGTGGTAGGTAGCGTCAAAACGAAAACAATAAAAAAATAAAAAAACTTAAATACACATAGCAAAAGTACGTACCAGTTTCGGTGATCAAGATAAAACTCACAATGAACTTGACTTAATCCGAACCGCGTGCTGTACAGAAACAAATTTCACTCGAACTAAGCACAACACAGGATTCTCTTACATGCAAAACTTGCAGTGCAAAATTCTGACACAACACTTTATTTTACGGACGATAAATACGACACTGGAGCCGTGGTCGATGATAAGACATCCACTGTTTCACTCGACACCAGCTATGAAGGGTTAAATTTTATGTTTTTAATGTTGGAGAATAAAAAAATGTATTTATAAGATTGCGTCTGTACCGGCAGGCGACTTGCGTGTGCGCGCGCGACGACGACCTAAAACCGATCCGACCGGTCTGAAGGCGGAGTGAACCGTTCGTGACCGGCTCAATCAACCAAAGATATCGCGGCAAACTTCACGAATATGATACATCAACGTTCAACTACTGACTTATTCGCGATTCTGAAGCTGGAGATTTCTTTGATTCCTTAATTTAGGTATACCAGAGGAAGTTAAATGGAATTAAACTCTTCGAACATTCCCACCGACACCTCTGACGAGACTTCGATATGCTTATGCGTGACTTATAGGTAAACACGAGTGCTCAGAAATTCTATTGTTAAAATCTCCGACTGACCTAAATTTTAATTCTTAAATTCTTAGTATCGGAGATTCTTTGTGTTTCTTTTCACAATGCCAGCTCTATATGCAGATACGTGAAAGGAATTTGAATCTCAAATTAAATATAATGTTATATTTTACAACCTTAATTTTTTTTATAATACCGTTAGCTAGATACATAATGACATTTGCATTAAAATTATCATTAAAATAAACTAAATACTTATACATCTGCATATCAGATATGCATTTAGACATGCCAAACAGAGGCGGCTACATAACGTCTGTTATAATTACCACCAAAAGATTGGCACAACATTTTGAAATCCTATTTGGAGCTTGTCTAATGAAAATTCTTGAACCACCAAACCTCTGGGACGTCCATAAATTCTAGTTTAAAAATAAACGACCGACTATTTATAGCGATGTAACACCGCACGAAAGTTGACGATAATATTATTATCTTCGTGTCAAAAAAAAAACATACGCCGCCTCTTTATACACGCTCCGTAATTATTATAATCGAAAGACGTTTTTATTGTATTTTTTTATTTATTTTATTGCTTAGATGGGTGGACGAGCTCACAGCCCACCTGGTGTTAAGTGGTTACTGGAGCCCATGGACATCTATAACGTTAATGCGCCACCCACCTTGAGATATAAGTTCTAAGATCTCAGTATAGTTACAACGGCTGCCCCACCCTTCAAACCGAAACGCATTACTGCTTCACAGCAGAAATAGGCAGGGCGTTGGTACCTACCCGCGCGGACTCGCAAGAGGTCCTACCACCAGTAATGTTCTCAGAATGTGCCAAATATTTAATTTTGTTTTTTTTTATTTTTTTATTGCATTTGTAGGCAGACGAGCGTACGGCCCACCTGATGGTAAAAGGTTACCGTCGCCCATGGACTTCAGCAATGCCAGGAGCAGAGCCAAGCCGCTGCCTACCGCTAATGTCAACAATTATTGTTTGTTCAACTGTGCTCCTCAAAATTTAATTTGTTAATTTTATGCATTAACGCTTTACAATTGGCAAAACGTAAAAGATTACCTAAACTAAAAATGAACAGATTCGAACAATAATTCCATAACTATGTTACAGTTTACACCCAGTACAAAATACATTAAGTAAGTACACACGAAAAACCATTAAATAGACATATCAGAGCCCTAATCACACTGTTTATTGAAAATGAATATATTGACCGATAACATAATCGATAAAAAACATTCATCAGTCACTCACTACAAATAACTTGCAACTGTCCTTGTCGTTTCGATAAAACGTGATAGTTTGCGAATACATGAAGTGCACGCAATGTCAACAAGATTAAAAATGAAAAGGCGCCCGCTTCGCCGCGCATTTAAAATTAGCGTTATTATTTATTGTCATTATTATTAGAGAGTCCAACACTCATATAGTTATTAGCCTATACATTAAGTAGATCTATTTTCTACATGGATACCAAGTTTCACGTCAATCGGACGCATGGTTCAGTAGTTATAACGGAACATCCGTAATAACCACTGTAGATTTATATATTAGTATATATAAGTTGCGAACAAATCATTCGAAACATAACCGCTTAACAGTAACATAAATCATGTCAACATGCACGTATCGTAATAATTCTTGCAGGAAAAAAGTGAACACAAACTTAATTAGATTCAGTGAATTGCTTATTCGAATTCCAATAATTCACTTTCAAATGGGAATTGAGAGTAAACAAATTGGAATCACTGCTGTGCAATGTACGTACGTCCGCTACTATTGGTTGCGTTCAAACTTAATCTTGAATTGGATTTTGGTCACGCTTGATTTTATATTTGAACTAGCTGACCCGGCAAACTTCGAGTGCCTCAAGCGATAAATAAAAGACACATCAAGGCGACACATCAAAGGAAAAACAAAATTGTTTGTTTTTATATAATTAACCAAATCAATTAATAATTAACAAAATTAGCCAAATCGGTCCAGCCGTTCTCGATTTTTAGGGAGACTAACGAACAGCAATTCATTTTTATATATAGAGATTACATTTTAATTTTTTTTTTTTATTGCTTAGATGTGTGGACGAGCTCACAGCCCACCTGGTTTTAAGTGATTACTGGAGCCCATAGACATCTACAACGTAAATGCGCCACACACCTTGAGATATAAGTTCTAAAGCAGTATAGTTACAACGGCTGCCCCACCCTTCAAACCGAAACGCATTACTGCTTCACGGCAGAAACAGGAGGGGCGGTGGTACCTACCCGTGCGGACTCACAAGAGGTCCTACCACCAGTGCTCACAAGAGGTCCTACCACCAGTACTCACAAGAGGTCCTACCACCAGTACTCACAAGAGGTCCTACCACCAGTACTCACAAGAGGTCCTACCACCAGTATTCTAATATACCAGTTAATATTCTAGTGCTTTCTTTTTTGAAATATTTATAATAAACTATTACTAATATACGAAACCCGGATAATTGTCTTTTTTTCATCCTGCTTATTCGCTGATAGTGAAGCTATTTCGGCTACGCCCTGACGGGTAGTTGAGCTCACGAGCTTAACCTGACAGGAGTTGCTAGCACCAGCCCTAGCAAGAGCAATGCTTCGCTGAATCTACTACCGGATCGGAATCGTGACCCACTCGAGAAGATCCGGCGAGAAACTCAGTGGGGTGACGGATTATTTGTGTAGAACAAATAAACCATGTTTTTATTAAAACTCACTTCTTTCCTGTCTTATTTTAAAATTTTAAATAAATAAATAAGCAATTTAAGATTTAAAATTTCCCAAACAATTATTTTATATTTAAATTTATTAAACAACAAATTATTTATTATATATTTATTTATTAAGCCTGAGCGTAGTTCTGCAGTTCACAAAATCTATACCAGACCTATTAATAAATTTGGTACAAGATAGTCGGTATTTTTTGCTAATTTGGCATTTACTGGAGGCAGGACCTCTTGTGAGTCCGCGCGGGTAGGTGCCACCACCCTGCCTGCCTATTTCTGCCGTGAAGCAGTAATGCGTTTCGGTTTGAAGTGTAGGGCAGCCGTTGTAACTGTACTGAGACCTTAGAACTTATGTCTCAAGATGGGCGGCGCATTTACGTTGTAGATGTCTATGGGCTCCAGTAACCACTTAACATCAGGTGGGCTCTGAGCTCGTCCACCCATCTAAGCAATAAAAAAAAATATTGGCTCAATTATTGCGTCAAATAAACACAATACTAATTAAAATAAATAGAAGCATTCTCGTAAAACTATAGTATTACAATTTAATTCTCTTCAAAACAGTTTTTTTACCGCGGGGTTCCAGTATTGGCGTTCTGACAACAGTCGCTGTCCCAACGGAAGATAAACGCTATAGCATAACACGAGATAAGCGGTTAGCAATACTGTCATTGTCTCTTAGCATTGTTTAATAATGAACTGTAGAGATAATCTCACGTTATCGTTCATTCACAGTTGCTCACTGCATTTATTTATCTTTGAATCGACGTAACAAATATCCTTGGGAAATTAGAACCGGCATATACTGGTAAAAGCTTATGCGCTACGTGAAATTGTAATATTTCAGTTGAACTAAAAAACCTATATATTTTTAAACAATTGCATAGCTTTTATCGCGGGCTTTGAGCACGGCGAACGAATCAAGAAATTCCGTAACGAAAATAAAACCTAACTTCCCCACTCCGCCTAACATGTAAGTCGCGTTCAACGCATTCACATGTTGCTCTTGTGTAGTAATGTTTGTGAATAAGCACGCGGCGTTACGTCATACTGCAAGCGCATCAAATAGTCTGCCCATCTCTCTCTCTCACGCGGTCTAGCTTATGAGAAAGGGGACTATTAATGTTTTAGTTTTGTTAATGTTTATAAATATAGCGTGGTCTTATTTATTTTATTATTGTTATAATATTAAATTATTATTGTCTAATTATAATTGCATAAGTTGATAAATGCTATGCTTTACCACGGCAGTCCCCGAGTGCCAGTTTTTTTATTGGAGTTCACTGACTGAGATAAGTTGAAGGCGCGACGAAGCAGTCATAAGAGGCTATATAGTTAGTTGGCGTCAGAGATAGGCATTTTATATAGATATGTACATAATATATGTATGTAGTTACAATTGAGCAACAAACTACCCGACACTTCGATCCGTGCTGTCTCTCTCAGTAAATACTCAAATTACAACATTATGAAGATTTGGCAAATGGCAAATATGTATAAGAACTTCTATCGACTTTGTACATCCAAAATGCACAACGTTATTATCTTTTTTTTTTTTATTGTGTATCTCAGATTATATTTTCATACGTTAGATTATAATTATAGAAACTGAGCAAATTTGAATGTGGTTTTCCGTCACATATTTGAGTTACACATAAATTTATATCAAGAGTTTCTCAGATATCGATATACAAATTTTAACTGGTGGTAAGACCTCTTGTGAGTCCGCACGGGTAGGTTCCACCGCCCGGCCTATTTCTGCCGTGAAGCAATAATGCGTTTCGGTTTGAAGGGTGGGGCAGCCGTTATAACTATACGGAGACCTTAGAACTTATATCTCAAGGTGTATGACGCATTTACGTTGTAGATGTATATGGGCTCCAGTAACCACTTAACACCAGGAGGGCTGTGAGTTCGTCCACTCATCTAAGCAAAAATAATAATTAAAAGTTTGTATTACTGCGTCACATTAAATTATTATATCCTATTAATATTTTGTATTGTGGTATAATTTCACAAACACAATTCCATACAAATGTACGCCATGAAGAGCATAGCGTATCGCTATTAGTGATACAATACCGTAGCTACGTCATAACGGGTTGTTCCGGGAACAAGTTGCCTGGTCATTGTTATTGTAACTCAATGTTTGTTTTTATTTTACTATTACGTTTACTGTTTTCGGAATAAAAACCTACCACGAAGGGAGAATGACTGATGATAAAGTATGTCTAAAACCATGTTAGGTGAGACTGTTAAAACTTTAACTAGGTATATATATTTTTTTGCAAATTAATTAACCTAATGACCATTTAATAGCTTTTTTCCTTCGCAGGCAGAGGAGAGTACCGGCCTAACTTTGTGCTTAGTTCTAGTTTGCCGTTTGCCTACCTTTGCCGCTAGGGGCGCTGTTCCAACTGCAAACAAATTGAAGTTAACGTTTACACTAGTTGTCGTCATTCTTGGGCGTCAGCAATACCAGAATCACAGCGAAGCCGTTGCTAACTCCTGCGAAATCCTCCCAAGCCTCTTTTGGAGTTCAATCTAGAGCCGGATGGTAGGTATACAGCGGCTCCAGAGAGTTTGGATGTCTACTGATTGGATGAAAGGATCGTCTCGATCAAATCCACACTCAATCAAACAACTATAGACAATCCGTACGGCCCTCTTCTGTGCGGAGTCAACTGGTACCTAGTAGCTTGTATTTGGGAGCCTCGGTCCAGACATAGAGCGAGACCGAACATGTGTATTGTAAAGGACCTTGTAGAGCTTGAGTTATTAGTGTTTCTCAAAGTTGCAATTTCCCCTAACCAGTGCCTTTCTTGTTAAGATCTTGAGTAATCGCCTCAATTTGAACAAGCTCGCGATCGTTCCTAGTCCTTAAAATATAGCAAGGTGGCTATGTGTTTATAATTTTTGTCATTTAAACTACATATTTTTTGATTTCTCGATCACATTACATGATACTTAGTCTGGCCATAAATACTGTTACAATTAAAAATAAACAAATATTACATTTGAATTTGGAATCTGTCATTTTTATTCGATTGCTCATTGAGTTTTCTCATTTTGGCGCTAATACATTGTACAATATTTTGCGATATTAAAATGGAGTGGGGTGATAAAGAGAACCGAATCGCTGTGATTGCATTACACAAAGTAGGTATGGAGCCAAATGCAATTTTTTAAACTCTCCATACGCTTGGTATTAGTAAAATGTTTGTATACCGGGCTATTAATAGGTGCAATGAGACCTCCTCTGTTCGTACCAAAAAGGTGGTCAAAGCAATAAGGGAAAGAATTCAAAGAAATCCTGTCCGAAAGCAAAAGATTTTATCTCGGGAGATGAAAATAGCACCTAGAACCATGTCGCGTATTTTAAAAGATGACTTAGGACTTGCATCCTATAAGAGACGTACTGGTCATTCCTTAACTGATAATTTAAAAGAGAATAGGGTTGTAAAATTGAAACAACAACTGAAGCGGTACGCAAAGGGAGATCATAGAAAAAATTTGTTTGTTTACGGATCAGAATCTTTTTACAATTGAGCAACATTTTAACAAAATGACCGTATTTATGCTCAAAGCTCTAAGGAAGCTTCCCAATTAGTCGACAGAGTGCAACGTAGGCGCTATCCGACTTCAGTGATGGTTTGGTGGGGTATTTATTAGCTATGAAGGAGTGACTGAGCCATACTTTTGTGAAAAAGGTATCAAAACATCGGCACAGGTGTATCAAGATACCATTATTGAGAACGTAGTGAAGCCCCTTAACAACACCATGTCCAATAATCAAGAATGGTCCTTCCAGCAAGACTCGTCGTAGTTAGAGAAAAAAAAAAAAAAAAACCTTAGGAAGCAGAGGACAGCAGCCAGCGCCGGGGAGACTCCTCCACGGGCATCACTCCACCCATGAAAACAAGCCCATCGTATTATATATAAGTATTTATTATTTTGTCGATGTGAGTGTGCCGAGCACGCTGCGAACAGTCCCCTCCCATCTCGTCTTGCATAACTTCACCCCTGCCCTATGTGGCAAGGAGTTTCAGCCCGGGCAGTGGGGTTTGCCCCGAGGCCCGTTCCGTGCCCCCGTCAGGGGATACGATGACCCTTCTTCTTCTTCTTCAGGTCATAAATCTCGGTCTACGCAGTCTTGGTTGGAAACGAACGTTTCGGACTTCATCAGAGCTGAAGGCTGGCCGCCGTCTAGTCCCGATCTTAATACGCTGGATTATGATTTATGGTCAGTTTTAGAGAGTACGGCTTGCTCTAAACGCCATGATAATTTGGAGTCCCTAAAACAATCCGTACGATTGGCAGTGAAAAATTTTCCCATGGAAAGAGTGCGTGCTTCTATTGATAACTGGCCTCAACATTTAAAATACTGTATTGCAGCCAATGGAGACCACTTCGAATAAGCTTTTTCCACTTTAAATTGTTTTATATTTATGTATTAAACTAACACACTGTAAAAGTAATAAATGTTATTTGCAATAGATTTTTTTTCCTTTGTCTCAGTATTTATGGCAAAACTAGGTATAAGTATCTAGTGACATCAAACGCCATCTGTTGGCCAATTGCGGAACTAATACAAATTGCAAAAATGACATTATGTAAGACAAAACCTATGGTGGATAGTTAAAGAGCACCATCTTGTAAAGGAAACAAGTTGAAAAAATGTTCACCTGCAAACAGCAAGTTATTGAAGCCTCACCAAAATAGTGCTAGGGTAGGAAGTGCAAATGATATGAATAAAGCAGTTCTAAACAGAGTGGACGTGTGCTGGATTGAAGTGAAAGGTTTAAGGCGTTGTTTTTTAAATCTTTCCACTTTCAATTGGTTTCCTTTCAGTGGACACTTTTTACACTGAGATGGTGCTCCTTACTTGTACCCTGCATAACGGAAACGAATAAATAAATATAAACCTTACTAAAAATCACAATAGCCAAAAAAACGTTCAGGAAGCTTCAACAGCGCCTTAGAGCTGTGATATAAATTAAACAATGTAAGTGCGAACGAGCGTAACAACGCCGAAGTTAAAGTGTTGAATTCTGATTACATTATGTTGAATAATAGTTCCATTTTTCCAAATAGAAAGCAAAGCTATTACACTATTTTCCGACATTTGTAAAATTGTACAAGTTTGGGAAAATGCATTAAAATTATTGGACGAGGTTCTCGAATTGTTTCAAAAGGTCTATTTACCTCTTGTTATTAACAGTTATTAACTGAGAGATTACTTCATTACGTACCATCCTGAACCTCGCGTATTGGCTTATCTTACTTTTTTTATTCCATTTCATTTACATAAATCCTTAATAGTTTCATTTTTAAACTACAGACAGGACTATAATATAAAAGCTTAGTTTATGGGCAGTGCTTGTTTGGCCTGTCTAAAGGGAAAAAAACAATTTACACTATGGTTAATGTATTAACTTCGCAACATAGTACGGTACCGTATGTATTATCTGTGGTAGTATTGTCTATCCCACATTAAGGGGAACGCGAGGAGTGAAGTTGTGTGATTTGTTTTATTTTGTCTATTTAGTGTTTCTTCAGGTTTAAATGTGTAATAATGGTGGTTTATTAACCGTTTAATATCTGTGAAAGTGCACAAATGTGGGAAAATGAAACAAAGCTGCTGGACGTAACTTCTCGGGTTCCTCCAAAAAGTCCACTGAAAAAATCTCAGTAAATGACCACCATTTTACTGCGATTATATTTCATCCCATATCATTTCGTTTCATTAAATTTCATCCCAGTTGATTAATGTCTCAAATTAATCATCTTCATTTCATTTCACTCCATATTATCATTTTTCATAAAATTAAGAATTTAAAGTAAAATAAGACATGACTTAAAGGTCTTAGTTACCAGGTCATAAAATCTCTTAAAAAAAAAATCCCACATTAAAAGTTTGAACTTCATTGAGCTTTCTTTCAAACAAAAATAATAACGATTTTATACAGTTACAGTTAATTAACTAATTGAAAACCAACACAAAGCTTTGTTATAAACTAAAGTCTGCTGTAAGTTCACATATAATTTAGAGGCTATATGCAATACGCAAAGCAAAACAAATTTATAATCACTTCTAGGTGTGGCCTACAACTTAAATTCGTGGTAAACATAACTTTCTTTACTTTCAGAGGCTTCATGGGAATAGTTTTTAACGTTGAATAAGGTAGTTAAAAAAAAAAACAAAATGACTGTGCTGGAATCGTGTTGGTCTCCTTGCATTTGGTCCACTGATACTAAAATGGGAAGCAAGTTGGTAGCGGTTTACACTACCGCTATGAGCATAGTACTGATTACGTTCATAGGATATCAAATGGACGGAGGCGATTCAACGCAGCTGTGGAACCCATTATTTGAAGCTGATGTCCGCGGATGTAAGTTTAAAAATCGAAGTAATTTTTGTAACATTAGGAAACAATTCCAAACATTTCACCTACCCTACACCTGCGATATTAACTAATCCGGCGTGTACTACATACTTAATATTTTAGATAAAACGCAAGAAACTTAAAACACCTGTAAAAATTGAGGTACCTATTCATTTTTAAACTTGGCCCAGCAAACTGTGGATTACAAATTGTGACCAAAGAATATAAATAAGTTTAAATTCAGAACACCACAGAGCTGTCTAGCCTAAATTACAAAGTAAAATTAAGGAACCTAACTAACTTAAAACTTTCTAATTACAGCCTTACAAATATTTGGAACAATATTTATAATAATATTGACACTGTTGATAATTTTTTCAATTTTAATGGTAAGTTGAAAAGATATTTTGCTATTATTATTATTAGCATAAAGTACAAGAAGATTAGTATTAGTCTAGTTTCTATCTGCTGATGTAAAAGTGTGAAGTTAAAATTTCTTTCCGCATATGCTATATTCCAGACTCCAAAAAAGCTTACAAAACAAAAAATTTAATATAAATGAAATCTCTTGGTTCTTACATGATATTGATTGACACTGTATTTATTCACTGTTGTCTTTATGGCCTTTTGTAAACATTTTCTACTCTGTAAATTACTACTCTTTCAGTGAAATGTATTCGTTTTCCAGTGAAAGTATTTTCTTACTCAAAACTGAAACTAGCTCATAACAAACAAATTTTTGTATGATACACCTTGTTACAAAAAAACTTGTTACATTTAAAAAGTATATTGACGCTTGAAAGGCAAACGTGACTAAGCAACCATGCGTGAACTTTAGAGTAGACTAATTTAAAGTTGAGATCCTGAAAAAAAATCTATTTTAACGAATCTAGCTGTAGGATTGAAATTATTTTAATAGACCTAGAATTTTTTTTTTTTTGTTGTTGAATATGGTTATTGCCTATCATTTATGTACAAAGCAGCTATTGTCGCATAGTCACGTTTTCCTTTAGCGTCGATATTATCAGACCAAAAGAGTCCTTGTTTCTTACATGTATAACATAACATTAATCAAATGTATGTAATGCTATGTTTGTTCATGAGTGCTTATTTTTTGTATTGTTATCAATTATAAATTTCTGATTTGTTATTGTACAATGGAATACAATAATAAATAGAATGTAATTTAAGTGTGCCCTTAATAGACTCAGCATCACTCTGCCTGTTTCTGCTACAAATCAGTAGAGTTATAGTTAGAACGGTGTGAGCGATTAAACCACACAACTGAATTACATCTCCACCACTGGTATTCAGAATTCAGTGCTAAAATAATAAAATAATTCAGTGGTTACTAATGTACACCATAATTGGTGAATTGAAAATAAACATCAACAAAAAAATTGGTTTTGATTTTCCAGGTCATAGGCATCAACATATGGATGAGAGGTTTTATATTACCATGGCTCTCAACAATGGGATTCATCATAGTATTTCAGTTCATTTTTGGTCTTTGGCTGCTGGGTGGATATTATATTTATGTAAGGAAACTACTACTGTTTACTAGTTGTCGTGGGTGTTCGAATCCCGCAGTCGGGTACCAATTTTTGTAATGAAATACTTAGTTAACAATTCAATGTTCACGATTGACTTCCACGGTGAAGGAATAATAAAATGTGGTGAAGGAAAATAATCGTGTAATCACTGGTGCCGTTGTAACTATACTTGAGACCCTGGAACTTATATCTCAAGGTGGGTGGCGCATTTACGTTGTAGATGTCTATGGGCTCCAGTAACCACTTAATACCAGGTGGGCTGTGAGCTCGTCCACCCATCTAAGCAATAAAAAGAAAAAAAAAAGAAAATAATAATTGAACAGTGATAAGTTATAATTACCACTACTTTAACCGTTTAATCCTGCATGTATTATTTTCATTTTTAGTATCAACCTTTGGAATGATTTGGCATACTATTTTTGTGATCAGGAATGACTGTAAAGCTGTGATAAATTTTAATGTCTACGTTAAATTGTAATCTTGCAGCTCTGACTCAAAATACCAAAATGTCTCGTTAATATATTATATAGAATTGTAAACGGTAATCATCCATTAGTATTTTAGGCAATATGGTTATGACAGATTGTGCTATTGTTACTCTGCTATTTTTTTCAAGTAATTCATTATATCAGAAGTATTACATGCACACAAGTAGTGAGAACTCTGCTATTGAACTGCTTCTTTGCTGTGGTTACATTCAATGCTGTGTTTAATGTTTTGTCTATTTATTCCATCATTATATTTGCATAGTTACTGGTGGTAGGACCTCTTGTGAGTCTGCACAGGTAGGTACCACCACCCTGCGTATTTCTGTTGTGAAGCAGTAAAGTGTTTCGGTTTGAAGGGTGGAGGCATCCGTTGTTACTATACTGAGACCTTAGAACTTATATCTCAAAGTAGGTGGCGGCATTTACGTTATAGATGCCTCTGGGCTCCAGTAACCACTTAACAGCAGGCGGACCGCGAGCACGTTTACTCACCCAAGAAATAAAAAAACATTGCATACTCTACTCAATTCTTTAAAAATTTATTTTTTGTTGGCCCAAAAGTATTTAATCAAATTTTTCTCATTACAGTTGGATGCCACATTTGCAGCTCTGGCTGATTTCCTATGGATGGCATATAATGTAAGTTTGAATTTATATAATGTGTATTACTAATTAATGTACGATTTTAAACATATATATAAATAAACATACCATATTTGATGACACAGTACATATTTTTACAAGACTTTTCTTGGTAGAGATTTCAAAGTTGACGTAGTGAGTGAGTATGATACAAGTCTGGGTGTATGTTTCTATAAACAATAACACAGAAGAAGATCCTAGCTTGAGACTTAAATGTGGAGAGCTTGGTCACTGCAACTATGTATTTAGCACAAAGAGGTTGTGATTTCATGGTAATTGAAATTGAAACAAGATTTAGTTTTAAGTTTGCAGTAAATCTGTATACATATTGGTGAACACTAGATTAAAATGCCTGTCCTTTTTTTTAATAATAATGCATTCTTTTTTAATAATGAAGACAATTTTTTTCCAGATATACTGTTGGCTGTGCGTGTTCTCTCAGTACCAAATAATATTGGAAATGCAATCTCCAAATATTGAAATCTTAGTTGAATATTAAGTTTCTATGACCTACTTTATTTAAGGAAAGAAAAGAAACATCTACTAAGGTTTTTTAAATAAACAAATGCAAGTTAAATGCGTAAGTTACACTTTAAAGAAAATCTATGGCCATTAATTCATAATATGTACTCAAATGTAATCAAAAAATTCCAATGTGTTCTTTTTATTTAATAAGTTTATTTTTAATCACAGATTTAGATATTAGTAATTTTAGATTTAAGCTACCTCTCACATTACAAAGTATATAGTTTTTTTTAAGGTGAAAACATTGCTATAACTTTGCTTTGAATCTCAATACATATTATTATATAGAATGCAGTTTGATTACATTTTTGCTTGAAATTTAAAAGTAAAAGATTAGATTAAAAAACTTGGAATACTTTATGAATATCACATGAGAATCATTTATTTAAAGTGTTCTACAATTGGTGACAGTACAAACTGTCATTGTGACACTATGATATTTGATAAAAAAAACCTACATATTGTGAAATTGACCGTAAAATATTTTGTTACATAAATTAAGATGCCTATGAAATCAGAATTATCAAGATTTTTAAAGAAACGTGTTTATTGTTTTGTTTTTCTGAAGTGACATTTGTAGCCTACTCGGTTGGACTATATATAAGTGCCTATCTAATACGTGTTCATTAACTATTTTCAAATTTGAAAATAAACTATATAACTTTAAATATCCGATAAATAAAAACCCGCATTCTGTTCATAACTATGTGTAGTGTATTATTGCCCATTCAGAGCAATAAAAAAATCATTATTATTATATTTAATGTATATTATTGTATACTTAATAAGTTAGAAATATGAATCCGTCCAAAAACAAGACTAAAAATATGTAAATAATTATTATAATTGCATTATTATGTTGTAGTGCCCTCTGTGAGCACGCAGTGAATTGAGAATAGAAAAAAAAAACATAAGTAACTCGATTACTTTCATTGCACTGTACAGATTTTCAGTAGTACTTACTAACTTTAAGCCTGGAGCTTCATTTGCGTGAGCCACGCCTTATCCCTGTATGGGCGGAAGGCCCCTACTCCACATATCTGACCCAGGCGACGAGGCAACCCAAAGCTGCCGTCGGTGATTTTAGGCCCCTCAAGCACCGGCCACCGTCCTCGTTGAACTCGTCGATTTCGATGAGCAAACTAACCCACAAACTCAACACAATGAGTTTCTCGCTAGATCTTCTCACTGGGTCGAGATTCCGATTCGGAAATAGATTCTACGAAGTACGGCTCTCGATACGGCGTCTTGGCTTACTAGAGAAGCGCTCTCCTTTACCGCCTCCCCACCACACTGCAGCTTGATTGAGGATCACTTCCCATGATCTCAGGTCGGGCAGTGATCTTTCCTGAGCGGAGTGGGTAGAAGCACAGAGAGGTATGGTGCTGTGTTCGTAGGGGTCGATTCTGGGTCCGCTCCTGTGGGACATAGTGAGATTTCCTAAGCGAACGGGGTAAAAGCACAGAGCGGTATCGTGCTGGGTTCGCAGGGGTCGATTCTGGGTCCGCTTCTGTGGGACATAGTGATCTTTCCTAAGCGGACGGGGTGGAAGCACAGAGCGGTATCGTTCTGGGATCGTAGGGGTCTAATCTGGGTCCGCTCCTGTGGGACATAGTGATATTTCCTAAGCGGACGGGGTGGAAGCACAGCGGTATCGTGCTGGGTTCGCAGGGGTCGATTCTGGGTCCGATCCTGTGGGACATTGGTTTCGATTGGGTGCTCTACGGGGCTAATCTGCATGGAGATTCTGATCGGACGTCGTCTGTTACTCCGACGATACGCTGGTTACGGCTCGCGTAGAGGACGACCGTTCGGCATCGATACTAGTCGCGGCTGCAGTGGTAACGGTCGTGGCGAAAATAATGAAACTGCTTTGAAGTCGCCCTCCACAATTCAGAGGCCGTGTGTATTCACGTAGCTCGGGGGCGGTCCCCTAGGCCCGACAATCATCATCGAAGAGGTCTCAATTGCTGTCCAGCCGAAACTCAATTAATTGGGACTTTGAACAATAAGTGGCCTTTTGACAGCCACTTTGGTCTTTTGCTTCCAAAGCTGTTTGGGGCGGCGGGTGTCGGGCGTTTGGTGAAGATCCTGCCCGTCCACTTGGGTGAGACCCGGCGTAGACGGACTCGCGGCGCGCATCTTTGCGGGTACCGTCTTAGTCGGAAAGGAGTAGCTGGTTGTGGTTTAGTCGGTAGTAGGTTCTTCTTTTATCCCTTTCTAAAAACGTAGTCTCGTAGGATCAATTGGAATGCCTCTAGTCCTTTGGAGGCGCTCATTTCCGACGTAACCCCGTCTCGAACCTGGTCGGTCTGTATCTGTAAGATTCGCTATTGATACAAAAAAGGGAAGCACACGGGAAGCTTGACCCCGTGAACTCACTTTTTTTTTGCGCCCTTCCGCGCGTGACTGGAATAGCCTTTCAAAATAGGTCACCAATAAATAGGTAGAAAAATAGCCGTACGTGAGATGTGGGCGCTACATTTTCCCAGGGTTCATACTATCTCCACACCGAATTTCGTTAAAATCGGTTCTGTGGTTTGGGCGTGAAAACGTAATAGACCTAGTTCCGTATTAACATAATTTTTAGATTTTCTATTCACTAAACCATTTGTACTTGTAATAAACATTGTTTGTATTGTTTAATAAAGGTAAAGCAGGTTTATTGTTGTTTTTTTTTAATAAACGCTTACTATGAATTTTCTACAAAACGTTGCTTTTTGGAGTAACGTAGAAACACTTAGTAGCTTACGCTCGACCTTATGTTAAGCGGTGATTTTAATAACTTCAAACAAAAACGTGTAAGCTCTCGATAGGAAAAGGCAGATAGGAGGAATAATCGATTGATAACTAAAAATAATCGTTTTTATTCCATTATTGTTACGGTAACTTGGACCTTTGGCTTAAGGTGGGATACTTGTTGGTTCTGGTAAACACATCACATCTAATGGATTGTGATCTGGTCCACCCATATATATCAATTACGTAGCAACTAGAAACCTAAATCCTTACTAGCTTGTCTGTACTACCATATGCTAGCGTGAAACTTGTATTTACTACTAGCTCCTCATGAAATTCAGGGAGATAATAGAAAACAAAAGAATAATCATCGAGTAAGTACCATGTTACGAAACAAAAGAAACACATTTGTAAATTCTTAATTATTTATTCAGAGAGAAAAAAACTTTCTCCTTTTGTTCACGATTAAAAAATAAAAAGTAAAGATTTTTTTTTCTAAAAAAAAAACAACAGACAACTGCATTACAAGCCTATCCCATTCGTTTAATAATTACAGTTTATTACATTTTTTTTAAGAATTAACCTTATAAATACGATACGATAACGAAGCCTTATTTTAATTGAACAAAACGAACGATTGATCCACGCGTATTGCACAGTTTCGAAGTAATAAAATTTACAAAAAAAAAAAACGTAATATAAATAAAATAACGCGCTTTTTTTGCTGTCAAAATTTCATCCTAAAACATATTTGGCATGTAGAATACGGAATGTGCTGAGTATTTAATTATGTTTTGTCATGTTCTATGTCAGTTCTTATTCATTTCAATGCTAAAATTGAAAGTAAACTAACTTTGAAAATATATTTTCAGAATATTTTTGACGATGGTAAAAAAACGAAAAGAAATGACAATCAGTCCGTCAATAAAATCAGTCGAAAGGTGAAAACTAGTGATTTACAATAAATAATTTAATTCCGAAAATAGGGCAGTGTTGCTGTTAAAATTTTCGCTTAATTTTGAGCAAATTCGAAACCAAATAGGTACAATATTGCAGTACACAATAACATAATAATAAGTGATAATAGAAATATTAAAAAAAAAAAAATTTTCAACAAATTTTAAAGTAGAAAATTAAATAAGATCGATTTTCCTTGATAACTAAAGACTATGGACTTCTAATATTTACATTGAAATCTTATTTCGAAAGAAAAAATATAACGCTTAACTATTAATTTACAAAATAGTTTTAACACGCACCCCGGTGCGATCGATTACTAACTATAATACAACAATTTACAAAAAGCTTAAATTTAAATGATATGCAAAAGCTACGTTTATAGCTCAGTGTGGAATAAATGTATTACCAAAACGTTTGTTGTATCTACAGCTAGTGGAATGAATACCGTTTTAATATATCCAGAATATATTATTGTTTGTTCATAAAATAATACTAAGAAAATGTACAGCTTCACACGCATTGTAAAACTGGAAAGTATTTTATCTCATTTTCTCACAAGCTAAATCGTATAGATATTTTTTCTCTTTTGGTATGTCATTTCCGTTTCATCGAATTTCAAATGACAACGGCACTAAAAAAAATCCAGGTCAAAAATTAATCTATGATATACACAATTTACAAAAATTCTACGTTCCACATTTAACAGTCCAAAGCAAGAATACACTCGGATGCCATGCATAAAATATGTATACTGGCGGCCGAGAATGAAATCGGACCCAATGGTACAGTAGTCAGAATCGACTAAGCGAGCGACTGTCACAGTAAAGCATGGCCCGGATCCCTTAGTCTAACATTCATAGTAGACTGTCTCTGTCATTAATAAATATTGCTTTTTCTATTACGTTCTTTAGTTCCTATCAGTTTTTGTTCAAATCTGAAATTGATGTTATAGATAGTACAAGTAAAGAGGACTTTGATAAGACATATAATTGGGGGCAATTTGAAATAGCATCGTAAAAGCAACTTAAGTAACACATTATAACTTAAAAATCCACAAAAATATTGCTAGCGTACAAAGTACTGGTGGTAGGACCTCTTGTGAGTCCGCGCGGGTGGGTACCACCACCCTGCCTATTTCTGCCGTGAAGCAGTAATGCGTTTCGGTTTGAAGGGTGGGGCAGCCGTTGTAACTATACTTGAGACCTTAGAACTTGTATCTCAAGGTGGGTGGCGCATTTACGTTGTGGATGTCTATGGGCTCCAGTAATCACTTAACACCAGGTGGGCTGTGAGCTCGTCCACCCATCTAAGAAATAAAAAATAAAAAAAGTGGTTTGATATGAATATAGCAGTTAAAAACGCAGTGAAGTGGGTCGAATTGAAAATTTGATTATAAAGACTTTTGCCTTTATTTTTGAAATTACTCCCCTTTACTATTTCCATACACAGAATGTCCTTCTTACTTCTAGTCTCCACAACTGATAGTAAAACATTCCCACTAAATACTACTATACCTTTCATATGATTGACATTTTTTAAATTCTAAAAGTAATTGTTTAAATGTTATATTTAAACCGGAGTACAATTTATTATTATTCATTTTAAAGTTACAAAATATTTTAACGCTTCTTTGGGCGTTACTGTTACTTTACAATAAATGCATAACTTAAAACGTTTTGGCACATTCATTTAAAATAGATCATAAAAGTAGAAAAATGAATGAAGGTATTTTGTTTGTTTGAGTATTTTTTTTGTAGTCTTTAGCCGTATACCATATAGTAGACTTAAATATCAATATATACAACCTATAAATTGAGCTGTTTCTAAAGTAAGCCTTAAATAATAATCGATCCTCAGAAACAACATTGGAAAACAAAACATAACAAAATAACTTTGAATTTTGATTGACACGACGGATTATTGCATACACTATGACCCCGTCGAGTACCAGTTTGTGTTAGGGGGCGCTGTCTTGTCTACGGGCTGGTGGGAGTGGGTCGGGTGGGCCGCGTGCGCCTGGGGATGGTACAGATGGAACGACGAAGGCGGATGGAAGAACTGGGATTGGTCCAATGGAGACGCGTAATCTAACGCGCCCGGTACCGCCGAATACGCTTGAGGCTTCAACGGTAGAGGCGCTTCGCCCAAATACGAGTGCCTTAACGCTTCCGAATAAGCGCTATTGTCGTACGACAAAGCGTATTGTTGTTTGTCTCTCGGCGAAACTGAACCGGGCGGCGTCATTGCTGAATGGTACTCCGCATATCCTCCGTACGCCAGCGAACCTATATCCGTTCCTTTGTGACCTAACTGTTCGCTATAACCGGATCCCTCGCTTCCTGGCGGCGTCGGCAGCGGTCCTGACTGACCGTCATTCGAGTAGTAGCCTCCAGTTCTGCCGTCACCAAGGAAATTGCTTCTTATAACGCTCTCTCTGTTTGCGTAGAGCTGTCTCAGTAACGCGGACGCTGGTGTCGAAGACGGATGGTTGGTAGGTATCTGACGGTTCATCAAATGATGGTTTTGGGTCCCTATCCATTGTATGGTCGACTTCTGCTGCTGCTGTTTCAGTAACGCATCCGTTGAGAAGTCGGTCGGTCGATGAGCTATTTCTTTTCCGTCGAGAGCCGGTAGATGCTTCGACATCGCGTTCTCTAGATCTCTGACCGAGGTGGCGTCGTTTCCTGCTTCGGGTATGGTTAAGTTGGCTGTTTTGGTCATGTCGCGGTCTGCTGGTGAAATTGTAGCTGCTGGATTGGAGGCGGATTTCCGTCTCTCGTCCTCGTCCTCGTCGCAGTCGGTTGTTTGTTTTCGTTTTTTCAGTCTTCTAGCGGGCATTGGGGAAGTTCTCTCCGGGGTCGTGTGTAACGGTAGAGGCTGGGCGTCGTTTAGCCTCGTCAGGTGCGTTACGTCGGACGCGTTGACCGGTGCAGAGGAAGCTGCCTCGCTGTTCGTTGGAGGTTCGGTTCTCTCTGCCGGATGCCTGGATGTGGGCGGCGGACCGCCCGTGTTGTCGGTGTCTGGGGGTCCGTTTTCGGGATCTCCGGTCGTTTCCTCTCGTTTCACACCTTGCACGCTTTCTTCCAGTTGGCAGCAGTCCATTACTGTGTTGGGGTACTCTCTGCCGCTGTAAATAGAAGCATATCATATATGTTTCAGGTCAAATAAAAACGAACATTGGAACAAATTTCTTATTTAGCAAAATGTAGTGTTCCGCCCTTACCTAATGACGTAGTTGA